GCCCTTCAGTAGATGACAACTCGGACGACATCAAGACCGAGTTGGTGTATTGCGAGAGGTGTTGTACCGGATTTTGCCCGGACGCCTCCTTGGAAGAAGAGGTGCCTTGCTGATTTTGGCGCTCTTCAAAAGAGGGCCTTACCTCTATCACAGAGCATGCACTACTACTAAAAATGGTTGTGTTCGTGTCCTCCTTGTCCATGTTACTCGGATAATAGGGGACTAAGGGGTCCACCATACTTCCATTAGGGTTTTTGGGGACGTTTCGCTCATACATTTGTCTCGCACACGCCATGTTCGACTATAGGGACAAAGAATAATATGTGGGTGTGAGTTGGTACGCACTAGAAATGGACCCACTCCATAGAGAGGAGGACTCGTCCGCCTCCACTCTAGACTCCTCAGTCCCAGGCGAACGACCGACCTCATGAGGAGAAACGGATGAAGCCGAGTGTTGTGCCAGTTCGTGTTTAAAAAATAAAACAAGTATAGAAAAAAAGGGAAGAAGTAAAGAAGGGCAGGCGGTTACCTCTATACGTGTAGAAAACCTTGAAAGTCTTTGAAGATCTTGAGGGTTGACCGGAAAACTCAAAAACTCAACCGGGAAACTCAAGAACGCGGCGGAGCGTTCGAAGATTGGGGAAGAAAATCACTTTCTCTCTCTAGAAAACAACAAAGTCCAAAGTATTTTTATGAAGTCAAACAAGTCTTATTTATAGGCAAAATTTTTGAGGGAAAAATGGTAAAACCACTTTCCCCGCCTAGAAGCTCAAATGGTAACTTTTGAAAAGTTTAACCTAGAAGCTAGAACTTTTAAAAAACCGCTCCGTCATTTAAGACAGGAAGATGTACGACTTGGGCTGGCAAAAACTGACCCGACACCAAAACCCGACCCGAACCCGACCTGAAAATAACGGGTTAGGGTTGAGATTTTTGACATGAAAACTTAAATGGGTTGACACGAACCCGACCCGATATTAAATGGGTTAGGTTAAGGTTGAAAATTCCAACCCGAAAATGACCCACTTAACCCGAATTTCCGAATATTTAAAAAAAAAAAAAACCTTAACTATATATATATATATACATATATATATATACATATATATACATATATATACATATACATATATATATATATATAAATATATATATATATACATATATATATATATATATATATATATATATATATATATATATATATATTACCAACCAGGCAACCAGTCGCACAACACACAAAAAATATGGATCCTAATGTAAATTGACCCAAGCCAAAATATAGCTCCTTGTATAAAATCTAAAACCCTAAAATCATCTCAAATTCTCAATGCTCACCTCTTACTCAGCCGTTTCTAGCAGCAAAACTCCAGCATTTTGAGTAGTTTAATTTTTCTCTCAATTTTCTCTCTCATAATTCAAACTCTAAAAATCTAAAATCATATGTGAATTCAATTCACCATTGATCGTTCAATTTCTAGTTGGGTTTTCGGTCTCTGAAATTCTAAAAAATCTAAAATCATATAAATTTGTTAATTTGGGTTTTCGGTCTCAAGCTGGGGTTTTTCCTTTTCGGTTGATCTGAGTTCAATTCACCATCGTTCAATTTCAAGTTTTCAACCGTTCAAGTTGATTTTTCGGTTGGTCTGAGCTCTACTTGTATATCTCCTCAAGCTGAACTTCAAGCCTCAAGCTCAACTACATGGGTTTTCGGTCGATCTGATTCTACATCTCCACAACTTTCGCTGTCATCTTCAATTCTTCCTCTCCTTCAAACAAAATATTCTGTTTTAATTTTGTGTTTTGTTTTTTTTTTTAAAACTTTTTAATTTCAGTTTTTCTATTTTATTGTGTTGTTTTTGGTTAATAATTGTAATGCACCTAAAATTTTTGTTGTTAATTTCTGCATGTTGGTTGTTGTTGCCGATTTGTTGTTTCTGATTTTTTTGTTGTTGCCGATTTGTTGTTAATTACATTGTTTTCGGTCAAATCAACACAATTTAAAAAAAAAAAAAAACCAGGTCAAATCAAGTCATTTTCGGGTTGACCCGAACCTGAAAATATCAGGTTCAGGTTGGGGTTTTCAACCCGAAAACTTAAATGGATCAGGTTCAGGTTGGGGTTTTCAACCCGAAAACTTAAATGGATCAGGTTCAGGTTGGGGGTTAGCTGACCCGAAACCTGAAAACTCGAACACGAACCCGACCTGACCTGATCCGTTTGCCACCTCTATGTACGACCACCCTAACAACGCGTCAAAATAGACGGTCAGGTCGTTAGCATAATTCGAACTGTCATTCCGGAAAATACGGAGGACAAGTGTTCCACTTAAAGCCAGTCGGCACAACCCGTCCGCCTGATTTTAAGACTCAAGCCCGCTAGTGAAATCAGGCGGACCGATCAAGGAAGCCAGCCCAAAGGAAAAATCCCTTGGATGGATGGATGGACGGTACTATCCGTCTCCTATTAATGATAATTCTCCTTTAGCCAAACATTTGGACGATACCGAACGAGTAAAGATCAGAGGAGGCGGCTCGTATGGTACGAGTCACCCCCTCTGAGGGGCAAATGTTTAGGGTAAAAAATACCCTAACACGTGGTCCAATCCCATAGTGACACGTGGCCCAATTAAAGGGTGACACGTGTCCCTATAGGAAGATGACACGTGGAAATCCTAAGAGCACCTGAATGAGAGAAAAGGCCTCCTTACATCAGGAGGCCCAAATCACTAGATTGCCGCAAAACGGTACGCCGCCCCTATAGGGCACATGTCCTTACCTGATTGCGCCGCCAATCAGAGCCCAACTTTTTAAGGCACTAACCCTAAAGGGACACACATTCCTACCCCTATAAATACCCCAATCATTTATGATGGGAGGAGTGGATTAAGACATATCATTTAAGAGCATCGAATAGCTCCAACTTCTCTCTACTTTCTCTCTCTACATTACTTCGTTTTCCGGTCACTAACTTGATCGTCGGAGGCGAATATTCTGTCAACCGGAATATTCGTTGTTTTGCAGGTGTCGGAGTCCATCCGGCCGTGTTCAAGACCTATATCACGAGGGATTCCAAAAACCCTAAAACATATATATATATATACATATACATATATATGTGTATATATATACATATATATGTGTGTATATATATATATATATATATATATATATATATATATATATATATACACACACACATATATATGAGAACTCATCCCATATGTGAGAACAAATCTCATCCATTAGATTGTATTAATCCAACAGCTGAGATTGTTCCACTAATAATGGCAATAATGTAATTCTCAAAATAAACAAATCAGCCCCCAAAACCCGTACAATTTTGTATACTCCTCTTTCTCTTTTCAAAGCTTGAAGGTAGGATTTCTCTCTCCTCTTCTTCACTGCTGCATAATTTCAAGTAGTAATTGATTTCTCTTATTCAAATTTCTCTTAATTTGATTTTAATTTTGATAATTCAATTGAATTCTCAAACTTCTTGTTTCTGATTTTTGTAAATTTTGATAATTTTAAATCATCTTCTTCCAATTTTGCTAAGTTCAAAACAACTTGAAGGTGGCCTTACAATGGAGATTAAAAATTGAAGACCGACGATTTCTCTCTCCTCTTCTGCACTGCTGCATAGTTTCACGTAGTAATTTTCAGATTTTTCTTATTCGAATTTCTCTTAATCTGATTTTAAATTTCATAATTTCGATTTTACTGCTCTGAATATTGATTTATGAATTGCTTGATTTGTTGCAGTATTTGAGCTCATTGACGATTGGAGAGATTTTCTGCGCTGTTTTACTGCTGTTTATTACAATCATTGATAAGCTTAGTAACGTTGTTTCTCATTGCTTCGAATTGGATCCTCAAAGTAATCATAAGCAAGTTCACACCGACCTCACTTGCCTTGCTCGTGAATCTCAATGTAAGTTTCCAGAATTTTATTTTAATTTTTTGTGGATCTAGTTTTCGAAATTGATTTTGAGCTTATGGTGAATGAAATTGAAGCATTATTTGAGTTATTCAAAGAATTGAGTTGTACAATCATTGACAATGGCTTAATTTTTATTTCGAATTAAATTCAGTACTATATTTATGGTCAGCATATTCATTACAATGTACTTATTTACGAATGATGTTATTATGCTCCTATGTTATTAAGTTCTTATTTGCAATCAAATTTAAATTGAGCAAATAAATTGAAAATTAGCAAACCTAAATATGTGTAATAATATAGAAAAAGTATAATGAGCATGGCTTCTATCAACTTACAAGTTGTCAGCCACTTGAAATTCTCATAATAAACCAATTAGAGAGTATTGTAATAAATATTTCTTAGAACATTGTTTAATTTCTTTTTTGTGATATTAGGACAATTGTTGTACTGCTTTTATTCCTCATAATGTCGATTTATGTGATTTAGAGACTTGTGTAAGAGTGTCATTGTGTTTGTGATTTTGGTGGTACATTCTTTTTCTAGATTCATTATGTAAACAGTGTGATATATGGATTCATCATAGGAACAACTAGCACTGCTATGTTTGGTGCTTTATTATAGATGTACTATTGTCGGTTTCTATTGCTATGATTTCATATGGATACATTGCAAATACCTATAATCTTTGTTTTCGCATCCATGTTTAATAGTAGTGATTAAAATTTTTAGTTGATGGAGGTGGTATAGGCACCCTTTACCTAGCTTGCAAAGTTGCAATGGTATTTGATATAGTGATATCATTGTTGCATCTTGTTGCTGTTGCTAGGATAGTTTGTTTTGTTGGGTTTGTGCTTCCTAAATACTTATTTGCTCATTTCACAAAGGAGCACTGAGTTATTTGCTCATTTGATAAATGAGCATTCAATTATTTGTTCATTTCCTAAATATGTGAAATAATATAGAAAAAATGTAATGACCAAACAAAATTAAAATGAGCAAATACAAAAAAAAATGAGCAAATATAAAAATGAGAAAATGAGGAAAATAAGCTAGTGATGGTAGGGTGTAGGGAACAGTGGCGGTGGTTGGGGAGTGAGAGTGACACAAGTTGTGGTGATGCTGCTAGTGGTGGTAGGGTGCAGAGGCAGAGAAAGGAGATAGAGTTTGGTGGTGGTGGTGATGGTGGTGATGGTATGGTGTAAAGAAGATGGTGAGAAATGACAAAAATCAAATATATCATAGTAAAAATCAAATTGGGAGTTCTTACATGTCATACTTTGTAGTAAAGAACATAGTCTACCTTTTGCTATTCAACCCCTTATTCTACCCCCTGATACTGCTCCCTAACTGCTGCCACCCTTCTACTGCTCCCCCTCTTCTCTTATTTAGTTTTCTATTTTACTGTGTTATTGACTTGCTATATTTTCTACTTTATTATGTTCTTAACTTTATTTTTGTAATATTCTGCAGAAATGATTAGCAATAACGAACAGTGTAATGGTGATTTTAATGCGAATGGTAATGTGCCATTTACTCCTACAGTAGTAGTTACTCCTAAAGTAGCACCTTTGTTAACTCCTAGAGGAACAAAAGAATGGATTCCATTATGCTCCAATGAGTTAAAACTAGCTTTAGGGATGAAGTTTAATAACGTTGATGAGGATCTTGCATTTTATAAAGCTTATGCATATGCTGCGGGATTCAACACAAGGAAGTCTACCACTAAAACGGAAAAAAGAAGCAAAAATTGACTATGCAATAAAGAGGGTTACAAAGAGAAGAGAAAGCCTAATGTTAAGATAAATTTAGATGACAAAGAAGAAGAAAACAATGAAAGAAAGGCTTCAATCACAAGGAAGAGACTAGTCACCCGTGTTGGATGCAAAGCACACATGGTACTAAAGCATTGTGATGATGACAAATACATGGTGACACAATTCCATGAGGGACATACGCATCCACTTTATACACCTAGCTGCAATCTATTTCAAAAAAAGGGGAGAAAAATGAACATTTTGCACAAAAAAATAATTGTGAATAATTCTAAGGTAACACTTTCAAAGACTTTTGTATTTATATAAATTTTTTTGTTCTAAATAGACACTCTTATATGTTTTAATAAAAGTTGTTTGCTCATTTGAAAAATTAGCATTGAATTGTTTGCTCATTTGAAAAATTGTTTTGTTTTTTAAATAGGTGAATATTGGTCCCGTTATAACTTTTCGAATGATGAAGGAAATTGTTGGAGGATATGATAACATTGGTGCATCTAAGCAAGATTTCATGAATTCACAGAGATTTAAAAGCATACATTCAAGGAAGTGATGCTCAAATGTTCGTGGATAACTTTACTAACAAAAAGCTAATGTGGAGCGCTTTTTTCTTTGATTTTGAGATGGATGAAGATTATTGCCTTTGTAGAGCATTGTGGGCAGACCCCCCTTGTAAAAAGAGTTATGCTCTATTTGGTGATATAGTATCCTTTGATACCACATACCAAACCAATAGGTAATACATGATAATTACAATTTATTTCTATGTTATAACTATGGCTTAACTTAATGTCCATTTGTCAAATGAGAATTGAATTATTTGCTCATTTAAAATTTAATCTATATGTGTAAACAGGTACAACATGTTTACTCCATTTACAGGGGTTGACCATCATAAGAGCTGCATTACTTTTATTGTTGGTTTCATAGCAAAGGAAGATATTGTGTCATTTGAGTGGATGTTCAGATCATTTCTCAAGGCAATGGGTGGGAATGAACCTAATTGTATGATCACGGATCAGGATCCAGCAATGAAAATTGCTATTAAAAGTGTGTTTAAGAATACTGAACATCGTTTCTGTATGTGGCACATAATGAAAAAGTTACCTGATAAGGTGGAGAAATCAATCATGCAAGAAGAAACTGGTTTCCTAAATAAAATATGTGATTGCGTTTGGCATCTTGAAATTGAACCTGCTGAGTTTGAAGAAAGGTGGAACAAGGTGATGGTTGAATACCACTTGAAAGAACATGAGTGGTTAGGTTATTTGTACAATATAAGGGACAAGTGGATTCCGGCATATTTCAGAGATGTGTTCCTTGGAGGAATAATGCGTACAACATCGAGATCCGAAAGTGAAAACAACTTTTTCTGCTCCTTTATCAATCCTCATGTGTCACTTGTTGAGTTTTACTTGAGATATGAAGCTACAATTGATGCCCAAAGACACACTCAAGGTCAGAATGATAATGATTCAAAGCACAAATATCCTGAGTGCAAAACACCACTAGGGATAGAAAAGCATGCCTCACATTTATATACTAACTCTGTCTTTTATGAATTTCAATATGAGGTTGAAATTTCTTGTTTTTCTTGTGGTGTTGATGTATTGAAGAAAGAAAATGGATTGGAAGTTGCAAAAGTAAGTGAAGGAAATCGGATTAGAACATTTGATGTTTTGTTTTATCCAACTAACTATGACACCACATGTTCTTGCAAGCTATTTTATAGACAAGGAATTCCATGTAGACATATGATTTGGGTTTAGAAAGCAAAAGGGTTTAAAACCATTCCTGAGCAGTATATGCTACACAGATGGACTACTATGGCACTGAAGAAACCAATTTTTGACTTAGGTGGAAACCTGTTGGAGCAATGTGCTAATTTAATTGACAAGAAAAAATTGTTAAATGATTTATGGTCAGAGATACACACTTGTGTAAGTTTAGCAGAAGGCAAAGATGAAGATATTCAAGATCTTGTGATAAATATTCAAGGAATAAGAAAGGATTAGGAGGCTAAGAGGATTGCAAGAAATAATGAAACAACAGCTGGAAGTGCAAACAACAAAGGGCAAGACATTGAGCTATTGATTGGAGCTAGTGTGCCAACTGAAATAATTGTCAAATCTCCAAAAATTTCAAAGAATAAAGGGACTGGATTTAATGTATAAAATGAAGAGACTTCAAAGAAATGGGTTGAGATTGATGTGCCAAATGTTGAAACAGGAGGTAGAAGTGCAAAAAGGCTGAAGGGAGTAAAAGAAAAGGTTGTAGAACAAAACCAGAAAAAGAAGAGATTATGTAGAGGTTGTGGTGAATTGAGTCATCATGATATTAGAAATTGTCTAGAAAAAGTGTAATGATAACTTTATATAAATATAAGATTTAATATTTTTATATAAATTCTTAACTGTAGGTCGTACTTGTTATTTCTTTATTTGTTTTTGTTCTTGTCATTGTGTGCATCTGTTTGTCACTCTTTCAGTATGCTTTGATTTATAAGACTGACAGACTTTGTAGGAGAAAGAAGTTTGGGAAGAATAAGATTAAAAATACCACCAATGGCCAAAAGATGTTGAGGGATTTGTTATAATAATCATGCCTCGAAATGCAATTGAGCTCAAATTTTAACTTTAATATTTTTAGCACATCCCCTCATATAGAAATTTTGTGATTTTAATTTTGTTGAAATGAGCAAATAGTTAATTGTTCATTTGAAATAAGCAAACATTTCTTTAATCATACATTAAATCAACAAGCATTTATTTGCTCATTTGTGAAATGATATACACTTTCTAAATAATTAGTTACTCATTTGTTGGAAAATAAGGAAACATTTCTTTGATCATTTAGGAAATGAGCAATCACTTTTTTGCTCATTTAGCAAATGAGCAAATAGTTAGTTGCTCATTTGTCAAATGAGCAAATAGTTAGTTGCTCATTTGTCAAATGAGCAAATAGTTAGTTGCTCATTTATCAAATGAGCAAATAATTAGTTACTCATTTGTAAAATAAGCAAACATTTATTTGATCATTTGGCAAATGAACAATTGATTTTTTACTCATTTAGCAAATGAGCAAATTGTTAGTTGCTCATTTGTCAAATGAGCAAATAATTAGTTGCTAATTTAACAAATGAGCAACATCTTAGTTAATAAGATCAACTTTTACCAAATGTTTTCCATTACATTGACATACCAAAAGTTATAACAACAAAATAAACATAAACACATTTGTCAAATTTGATCATTTGTCCCATTGATAACATCATAAAAACTAGGGTTTTTCTACATAGTAACCTCGTTTTTTTTCACTTTTTACGTTGTGACCTAACATATATGACTTTCTACGTTGTAACCCTAAAGTACGAAAAGTCACTACATTGTGACCCCGCTTAAACTACCGTTAATGGCTTCCGTTAAAACTCAAAAAATAATTTTTTATTTTTTATTTTTCATTTCCCCTTCCCCTTCCCCTTTCCCTTTTTCCCTCCATAAGCACCAGAGTTGCCACCATCCCCACCACCATCCCTTTTCCCTGCTTCCATAATCGCGACCACCACCATCACCGCCCAGACCCCCTTCCCCTTCCCCTCCCTTGGTGCCGGCGCTGCAGCTAAACCTAGACCCTAGAACCACCATTGCCACCAAACTAGACCCCAGCCAACCTAGGAATCACCGCCACCAAATAGACTCTGGAACCACCGCCACCAAACCAGACAGCCAACCCCAAAACCCCCTTCGAAAAATCAAAAGCCCACCAAACCAGACCCCGTGAAACTGGTTGGCATTCGCTCTCTCTCTCCTCCCTGTAGAACTCCAATTCCTTTTTCTCTCTCCTCTAAAGCTACTCATCCATGGCTAACAGTTTTTTGCTCCGAAGAATCCCAAGGTCGGATATTAATTGCATAATTGGTAGTGATTTGCAAGTATATTTTCTTCCAAGTCTCAATTTTTATTCACAATAATCCAATTTTGGATGGTTTTATAATGTTTCGGGTATTTTAGATTGAAAATTGGGGCCACATTCATATCAATAACATTATCGAATTTGACTTTTGAAACTAGTTAATTTGAATTATTTTGTATTACTGTGATATATGATTGAACATTTCGTTTCACTACTAAATGGGTATTCTCTACTCAACTTTAATTGTATCATCACTCTTTATTTCGATATTATTGAAGTAAGGTTTTGATTTTTTTTTTCCCCCAAATTGAGTACTGGCGATTTATGGTCTAATATTGGTTTGATTGATGAATATTATAGATCTTAGAGATTATTTATATACATTGTTATGTTTAATATTTGCTAATTTTTAATTCAATTCTGAAAATTTGGCCTTTTATTATTTTGTGTTTGAAGCACGATTTTGAGTTTAGTAATGTTTGGCAGACACTCTTTGATTATTTCTGGGGGGTTGGGGTCATGTTGGTGGTGGTCGCAATTGTGAAAGCAGGGAAAGGGGATGGTGGAAGCAACTCTGGTGGTTATGGAGGGAAGAAGGGAAAAGGGAAGAGGAAATGAAAAAAAAAATTATTTTTTGGGTTTTAACGGAAGCAACTAACGGCAGTCTAACGGCGAGGTCACAATGTAGTGAATTTTCGTATTTTAGGGTTACAACGTAGAAAGTCATATATGTTAGGTCACAACGTAGAAAAGTGAAAAAAAACGAGGTTACTATGTAGAAAAACCCTAAAAACTAATACTTCTATTGTTCTATATAAATCCTAAGAACATCCTAACAATTGATCAACTTCAGTCTTCAATTCTCTCTGTTGAATGCTCTTGGATTGCTGACTCTAGCTTTCTTCAGTTGTAAGGCTAGGTTCCTTAGCCTTTTTTTTTCTTTTGAATAATTTCTTTAACATGTTTAACAGTATTTACTTCACTTGAAATAATTGCGAAGCAATACATCAAACGAAGTTTTTCAATGATTATGACCTGCAAAGAGAAAAAATGAAGCAATAGATCAGGGTAAGTATAGGGAAGCAATAGTTTAGTAGTTGCAGAAGGTCATCTTAGAAAGCAAAATTTTGATTCAGCTAGTAGCAAAATAGAATTAAAATTAAAATAGAATTAAAATGAGCAAAATAGAATTCAAATGAACTTATTAGAGGCTAGACAAGAACTAAGTTCTAACACAGAATCGAAGTTTGTCACTAATACAACCCAGACAAACAGTGCATCTTCACTAGGTATGATGACAGTTGCTAGTGAACATTGCTCATGTCAGTTGCTAGGTATGTTCTCTATTATCATCTCATATTTCAGAAATACGTAGAAAAAAATGATGGAATCTATTTTTGAAATATGGAATCTATTCCTCAGTATCTGTATACTCCTAATTCTGTTTTGTGATGGCTTCAGTGTCACTTCCTGCAGAATCATGTCATGTGACTTTTTGTAAACATGTTATTAGACAAAACATTAACCAATGATTTTATCACCAACTAGACTAGTATTCGAAGAACGAAACAAGATAACAAGAATAAATGTAGAACAAGGGAAGAACATTGTGATGTAACGCATAACAGTATCATCCGTTTAAACCGTCAATTTGCTTCTCTAATTTTGATTCGACTAATCTTGTAACTTATCTAACCTGAACTTATAATATCTTAACTTAAGTATTTTCTCATTTGAATCATTGAATCACAAGACAAAAAAGGTATCAATGTATATGCTCATTTGACAAATAAGCAAATAATTAAGTATTTTAGGTAGGAACATGGCCTGTAAATTGCAACAACAAGCATGAAATATGAAAGACTTACATTATTTTTCTTTAAACCTGAATTCCACTTTTGTAAACCCATATATGTTTCCATATGCCTCATCATTGCAACTCCACAATGCAAATGATCATCATCTGAAGACTTCCAGAGTAAATCAATCACTTCAGACTCCATAGACTTGATCTCTTTCGACAAAACAACACTTTGTATAGTTCCTTGACCATCCTTGAAATATGAAAATGCGCTTTTCTGAAAATGAACAAAAAAATTAAAATAAGAATAAAAACAGGTAGAACAAATATAGTCAGAACAAATATATGGAGAACAAGACCAAGATAAACAACTAAACTCTAATCATTTTTCTAAAATAATCTAACAAAATCTTGAGCCATACCAGATTTTTAAGAAATTTCTTGTTTTTTTGTAGAGCCTTCACTATAATCAATAACCTCCATTGTACCACGCTCTGTGGTGGTGTTAAAACATACCAAAAAATAATGATCTTTTTCAAATACTAGGAAAAAGAAAAGCTCAATATCTTTCTTTGGGATGACTGATTTGCTGAATTCTAACTCCACAATATCATAAAACATTTTATTCCTTTGTAGAGCACGATCAGTTTCATATTGAAAAAGGAAGTCCTAAAAATATCACTACACGAAAAGAGCAAATTGGCAACGGTTCAAACCCCCCCAAAGGCAACGGTTTTGAACCGTTCCGTATTTGAGGGTTGCCAAATCCCAAAATAATTGGCAACGGTTCAAAACCGTTGCCAACTCAAGCAATTGGCAACGGTTAACCGTTGCCATTGACCATGGTGCCCTTTTTAAAAAAAAAAAAAAAAAAAAAAATTGGCAACGGTTAACCGTTGCCAATTGCTTGAGTTGGCAACGGTTAGCTGTTGCCATTGACATGTTTTTTTTTTGTTTGGCTGCAATATTATTTATATTATAATATTAATAATAATAATAAACATTATTATAAAATTAATATTAATAATAATAATTATTATTATTATTATAATATTAATATTAATAATAATAATTATTAATATTATAATAGTAATAATAATAATAATTATTATGATAATAGTAACAATAATTAGTATTATTAATAACAAAACATAAATAATAATAACAATCGCAAGAGATGATATAAATTAGAAAAATGTTTCATGTTACCTACAAACAATTTTAATTAGTTATAATAATGTATATAGTACATAATTAGTAATCTAAGGCTAGGATTGATGAAGTAGCTAGCTAGTAAACGAT